TAAAATTTTGACGTAAAATATTATAATATTTGTTTGACGTAAAAAATTTTTCAACAATTTTTTTTTGTATCACATTGGTATGGACCAAAATTTAATGGAAAGATGTTAATTATGTAACGATGCTATCACACAAAAATCTCCACTTCTTAACTACTTAGCACTTATCTTATCATCATACATGATAAGGTTGAAAATTACAATTTGATTTCAAAATTGTTTTAGGTTTTTATTGATCAAGTATCACTCTTTGAATTCCATTTGAATTCAAAATTGGTGTATTTTTTATTTGAACAAAAAAATTTACGGAATTAACAATAACTAAATCAAGTACATTTAATGGATTATATTGCGTGATTTTTCAATAACTTATCATAATGAATTATATTCATAAATATGAATTTGATTATAATATTTATTTTAATTTGTGTTATATATATAAATTATTATAACTAAAATCTTGACGTAAAAAGATGGAAAAATTTGTTTGAATTAAAATTTTGACGTACAAAATTTTTGACGTAATTATATTATTTGTTTGACGTAAAAAAAATTTCAAAATTTTTTTTGATATCACGTTGGTATGGACCGAAATTTAATGGAAAGATTGATGGTGATGGTAATTATGTAATGGTGCTATCACACAAAAATCTCCATTTCTTAACTACTTTTCACTTATCTTATCATCATAAAAATTTCGTTCCATACCAACGTGATAATCATTTGTGTTTGGATTGACCGAAATATATTTCATTTGAATTCAATGTCATTCATTTAAAAAACATAACAAATGCAGAGTCTTACGGTGGATAAATCTTGAGTTAACAATCTGATAAATCACGTTTTACTAATCTTATCATGATATTAGAATTTGAATTTATTAGAACTCTGAAATTAAAATCACGTGCAATGAATCTTATCAAGAGAGATTAACGTGAGTCTAACTAATCTTATCATCTAACTTTCATTCCATGGCTATAAATAAACGTCAGAGCCTATATCACGTATCACAAAAATCTCACACTATAATTTTACATACAAACAGAAAAATGGCGAGAACATGGGGAAACATCAAGGAAGTAACAAGGATCAACAGGCCAATGCTCAAGTTGAGGGTGGTTCGAGTTTTTCAAAGGACTAATCAATACTCATCCTACAAGAACATCCTTGAAATTGTCTTTCATGACATTGAGGTTTAATTCAGAATAAAAAATAATGATTATCCATTTTTCTCATCATGTTAATTATAATATCTAATATCTAATATTATTTTTCTTTTTTTTTTTTTATATCTAATATCTAATATTATTTTTCTTTTTTTTTTCAGGGAGGTCGAATTACTAGAATAGTAAAGCAATCAACATCCCAACTTTCATCAATGAATTCGAAGAAGGTGTTGTCTATGCATTTTGAAACTATCGAGTCGAAAGTAATATCGGAATGTATAGATCCACCATTGATAATTCGTGCTTCTCTAATAATATGGGATGAAGCACCAATGATGCACAAGCATTGTTTCGAAGCCGTACAGACATCGCTGCAGGGTATTATGGGAGCAATTGATCCTTTGAACTTGAACAAACCGTTTGGTGGGAAGCCGGTTGTTTTTTGTGGAGATTTTCGACAAATCCTTCCTGTTATTCTAAAGGGTAGCCGTCAGGACATAGTCAATGCTGCCATTAATTCTTCTGACATATGGAGGATTTGTACTGTGCTTAGGCTTACGAAAAAATACGCCTTCAGGGACTTGCTATTTCGGATGAACGTGATGAGCTTGCATGGTTTGCAGATTGGATAGCCAACATCGGAGATGGAACTATCGGAGGGTTGAATGATGGATGTGCACCTATAGACATACCTGAGGACATTTTGCTTCAGCCATCTGATGATCCTATTGCTCAGATAGTTGAAAGCACATATCCAATGTATAAAGAGGCACCCGACGATCCAAGTTATTTGAAGGATAGGGCTATATTAGCGCCGACGTTGGATGTGGTCGAGTCTATCGATCAGTACATGACATCATTGAATTTGTTGGATGGTCGTATATACTTGAGCTCTGACAGTACGTGCAAATCGGATTCTAATAATGATTTTTTGTCTGATCTCCATACGCCTGAGTTTTTGAATAGTATCAAGTGTTCTTGAATACCGAACCATGAGTTGTATTTGAAGATTGGAACTCCAGTCATGTTGTTGCGGAACATGGATCATTCTATGGGTTTGTGTAATGGGACACGATTGGTAGTGACAAAGCTATCGACTCACGTTTTTGAGTGTAAGATACTCACAGGAGATCATGCTGGTGATAAGGTGTTGATTCCAAGAATGGCCATAACTCCTTCTGATGTTAGAATTCCTTTCAAGTTCCAGCGGCGACAGTTTTCCCATTATGGTTTCTTACGCCATGACTATAAACAAGAGCCAGGGACAATCCTTATCTCATGTTGACTTATTTCTTAAGAAACCAGTGTTCAGCCATGGCCAGTTATATGTTGTTGTTTCCCGTGTCACTAACTGAAAAGGTTTGAAAATCTTAATTTGTGGCGAAGATGACGTGCCAAAGAATCAAACAAATAATGTTGTATATAGGGAAGTGTTCAATAATATATGATTTTTTCAATTTAATGATATGTTTATATGTCTATTATTATGATCATGATCATTGCCTGTATAACACAATTTATATACAAAATTATTTTTTAAAAACATTCTAGATAATAATATTCCGTGCAACGCACGGGTGACTACTAGTATTAGCTAAAACAAGGGTTAAGTAAAGTCGAGCCACAACCTGCAATTCGGTGATGTTCGCTTTATAGAAAAAATTTTTTAGTCTTAAAATTTTCGGCTCGATTTTTATTTTATGTTACAATGCGGTACAATTTGAAAATTTCACAATTTTTGATTTTTTAGCTTTTATGTTCGGTGCGCCGCAATGTTACTCACCCTAGCTAAATAAAAATATTGACCTTACAATGGTTACATAAAATTATTCATTTTCATTTGTTCTACCAAGATTTATCTCATTGAAACTTGAATGAAATAAGAAAAAAATCACATAAATACTATCCACTGCATCTAAAAAAAATAATAATTATATATACTTCCAACAAAACACACTATTCACCATTTCATGTATTTATTATAACTACCAATCTTATCAATTAACATTATAATAATTTTATATCATATCATATTTAGTCGTTGCATTTTTTTTTTATCTCATATCCATTTGTAATTCAAACTTCAATATTTCTAAGAAAAATAATTTTCACTTTTGTCAAAAAACATCTTTCAATTTTTTTTTCTTCAAATTCACATCAACTTTTTGAAATGTTTAATAATTAAACAATCAGTCAATTAAATGTCTCCATATGTAATAAACCTAATTACCAAGAGAAGTAGTATTATTGGAATTTAATTATCTACATAAGTATTAGTAATATGTTAAATGAATATAATAAATTATTACATGATTTGTTAGGAAGAGAAATTCTTGATTTTATATACCAAATGATATATAACTGAAATTATTGATATATATAGCTCAATAAAAACAATAAAATTAAGAGAAAAATATCAGATTTTGGGAATACCTCTTAGATAGAGTTTATTCTAAATTGGTTTGTTAATACATTTCAAATTAATTGAATATTATCCAGATAAAGGTACAATTTTTATGAAGAAAGCTTGCTTTTGAAGATAAGATCCTTGAAGAATATAAGGATGACAAAGATGTAAACATCAAATTAAGTGCAAAAGGGTTTGTTCTCTAACTAAAGATTATCCACAAATCAATTAATAACTCAACTTCCATTGTCTTAGTTCCACCTAATCAAAACGTTTAAGCAATAATACATGATTGATTGAGAATTCTGTTGATGAAAGTTGGATTTTCTAACTAACCAAACGTTTAACAATTGCATATTTACAAAGTTATATAGGATTTTAGTTATATATGTTCAATAGCCAAATAATTAAAATGCATATATATTCCTTCCTGGTCTTAGTTGTAAGATGTTATAATTAAAAATAATATACGATTATATGTAGTTTAGGTACCGGTCGGTTAATTATATATGTGTTATTGTATTATTGTGTATTTATTGTATTATCCTTAATTATCTATGTAATATTAATTTTATTTATATATATTTGGTTAATAGAGAGTTTGTATAATTCGATTGAGATGATATTCACCACAATATACGTCTCCTTCTCTCATATCATTAACCTCCATTTAAGATTCTAATACTTTTCAAAGCTTTGTAATATTTTCTTTAACCACCATTAAGAATTTAAGATATAGGTCACTTTAAAAAAAACTTTGGCAGGGACAATTGTCACAATTGATCACATCCTGTTTGTAATTAAATATTAAGTTTGAAGAAAGATAAAAACTACTACTATTAAAGTTTTATGCTTTTGCGGACTTTTAACGTATTTTACCAAAAATTTATTAGCCCGTGCCATTACATAAAACTGCTTTGCTTTTTTATATTTATTATTTTTTCTATTCTCAATTTTTACTATAATTTTTGAACGCTTTTGCAAGATACAACAATTAAAATAAAATTATTTGTAAACTAGCTATAAATAAAAACTAATTTAAACATTAATTCAAAAATGAACCATGAATAAAATATTCATAAACTATAGAATTAATTAATTTTAATTAAAATAAAAAATATCGTAAATATAAAAGTAAAATATATTTTGAAGACAAATGGAGTAATTTCTATTTTCTTTTTATATTATGTTATTTATTTATATGGGCCACCGTTCTACAGTTGGCCCAAATAAGGTGACAAAATGAAGTCGCGGAATTTACACTCCATACAATCATATATATTTTATATTACATATTTACATCCAATTAATATTTATTTGCAAAAATAGAAAATCATTCCAACATATTTGCACATATACCAGATTTTACAAGTTTAGTAATTTAGGATTTAAATATGGAAAATGAATCAATTATGAATTAATTAAGATAATTAATACATGTTTCTTTTCTTTTCCCTTTTTCTTTTCCTCCTCCTCTTTCTTTTCTTCTTATTTCCCGTCACTTTTCTTTTCTCTTCCTTTACTTCTCCTCCTTCGCAGATCTCCATTTCTTCTTCTTCTTCTTCTTCAAATTCACCCTCTTCACTGCAAATTTACTTCTAAAAATCCCCCTTTTAATTTTCTTCCATTTTCAACTACTCAATTACCCCTGGCCGAAATTGGCTATTGACGGCGATGGGAATGGGCGCCGTCGGCTCAGGGGGCGGCGATTTGGGGTGGTGTCGGAGAGGTGGCGTTCTGCCTCCCCGTCAAGGTGCGGTCGTTTCTTCGCAGCTGCGATGGCGAGGACGGCTGGAGATCGATCGCCGACGCTAGGGCTGCAGCGGATCGCGACTTCCCTCGACCTGGTGTGGCTGAGACTTGTGGCATCTCGAACGGCTCTCCGGCGCGGTGCTGTTCGTATGCGGGGCCATCGCCGGTGGTCTCGTCAACGGGAGAAAAGTGTTCGCGATGGGCTGCTCGGAGGCTATCTCAAACAAATTTACCCGGTTATGGTTTTTTGGATTTTTTGTTTTCTTGTACGATTGAAAATCGATTGGTCTTGCGATTTCGAGCTTCGGAAATGGCTTGGGGATCATGAAATCAAGCCATATCTCCACGTAGTTTGCTATTAATTTTAGACGAATTTACCTGGTTACGGTTGTGTTGTATTGTGTTATATGTACAGTATATGATGGGTATATGTACAGTATATGTTAAATATATAATTTTTTCTATCTGTTTTGACGAAAATCTTCTCAGAGGGTAATTGTCGAACACTTAGTGTGCTTGATTTGTTGATAGATAGTTCTATTCTGTACATATTGCGGGTATATGCTGTGGGTATATATAGTATATTTTCAGTATATGTTTCGGTATGACAATATGTATGTTTCGGGTATGAAAATTCTGTACATGATTTACATGTTACCATCAGATATGAAAATTTACACGTTGCGGGTATATACCAAAGTTGTACAACACACATATACATAAAATATACATAAAATATGCATAAAATACACACTCGAGATTCACGTAATTCAAATCCGCGACACCACATATACATAAAATATACTTTAAATATACACTCGAGTTTCAATCGTTTCTCAAAATCGATTTTAGAACCCACATATACATAAAATATACCTAAGGCATACACTCGAGATCACGTAAAAATTCTGAATGAAGACCGTCGGTCGACTGATTTTCAAAAAAATTCTGCTCGGCGGCGTGTGTAAACATGTTTTTCATTGCAACATATACTGAAAATATACTAACATAAACCCAATATATACCACTTGACAGCTGCGTGAATTAAGGAATTCAAGTTGCACGAATTAAGGAATTAAACGAGTCAGTTATTTTCTCTTTCTTAATCATGCCCATAAAAAGGGGGATGGAAGTGAGAAGGATATGGTAACTGACTTTAGGCATTAATATAGATAAATAAGGTCTTTTAGGTATAAACATAATTATTTCAACTTCTATGGTAAAGTTGCAATTAATTTAAAATCACATAGCATAAATAAAAATTTCCCAATGAAGTCTGGCCTAAGTGGCCCAGATAAGACAATGCTCAAGCATTTGAAATTTGGGAATTTTGTTAACTACCACAAGAATATAAATATATTGTAAATATACCAACTGTCATATGTTATTAGCATGCATACCAACTGAATTGACTTTATTTGATCTCAATTAAAAACTTACGTTCTCAAAGTAACTGCCTTTCCTACAATCACTCATCTATGGGATTTCAATGCAAGAAAAAAGGTAAGAGAATATACATCATATACACATAAGAAATTCGAATGTCTTCTCTCTCTCTCTCTCTCTCTCTCTCAATATCTATACTTATATAAAAAGAATTAACATTTATTCAAAATAGTAGGTCAAATTATGGTCAATATCGGATTTGCACTAAATATTTTTCAAAACTGGTAAGTTTTTGTCCTTTTTACACTTCTCATTAATTATGTCATTTTCACACTTCTCATTAATTATGTCCTTTTTACACTTCTCATTAATTATATCATTTTCACACATCTAATTAATTCATTAATTACGACATAATTATCATAAATCATTTCATCTGAGCTTTTATCATTAAAATGTATAGCGATCTATTATGACCTTATCCCATTGATATTTCCATGAAACGTCCTTATCGCGTTCTATTTTTTGGTAACCACTCTATATCAATAACCGGATATTTGGTTAATGATAGCACACGTCTTTATTTCAAGGAGCGGATATTCTTTGACCTTTAATTAATCTGAACTGATTGCCTTGACTTTTCAATTTTTAAAAACTCTTTTTTTAAATATTTTGGCTTAAGATTTGAATTTCATTATACAAGTCATCATATTTTTTGAATGAAAATGAATGAAAAGAACACCAAAAACAGGTAGCCTTATTCATATAAACAATCCTAAAATATTAGTTTGTTCACCAAAAAGAGACGAATCTTAAAAATCCTAAAATATTAGTTTGTTCACCAATCCTAAAATATTAGTTTGTTCACCAAAAATATTAGTTTGATTTTTAGGATTTGTCTCTTTTGAAAAAATTAGTTTGTGATAATGAGGAGTTACCAAATAATCAAACTCATAATGTTGTGTACAATGAGGTTTTTAATAATATATGATTGTTACCGAACTTTTTATGATTCAACAATGTTCCTATGTATTTTAATGATTTCAATTTCGATCCTAATGCACGTGAGGTTACATTATTCTTCCAAATTTTACATCCCGTGCATCGCACGGGTTACGTACTAGTAAAGAAAATAAACGATAAGATATATACATCATATACACGGTAAAAAAATACAGAATATACAGAAAATATATGCAATATACACGATCAGAAAATCACTAATCTTGGAAAATCTTGAGTGTATATCTTATGTATATGTGGGTTCTGAAATCGATTTTGAGAAACAATTGAAACTCGAGTGTATGTTTAAAGTATATTTTATGTATATGTGTGTCCTAATCTGTTGCACCGGATAAAAGGAGAACAAAAACAGATTATATACAAAAGATATACTAAATATATAGTATTGTACAGTGTACAAAAGATATACAAAAATAATATATATTGTAGGGTGTGCAAACTATTAGATTCAATTAAGTTACATACATACAATATACTTAACATATAAGAAGTAAATTTGTTTATATTTGATTAGACATGTGTTGAATTACACCAGAAAGAATATAACATATCAGTTAATGAGGTAATACAGTTGTTCCAGTCAAGAACATATACTGAACATATTCATTACATATACATATATAACCTGCCTTTGTTCAACATAACTTACGTGTTTTTACAAGTTAATATTGGGATAACATATTACTCCAATAAATCAAACCAAAAAAATTCTCAAAAAAATTGGAATTGTCCCAAGGCCTCTACGCAATTGTAATCTTTGATCCAAATTGTCCCCTTCCAATTTTCTCTTGTTATATTCCCCTTCTTTTTTACCCGCCATGTGATTGAAATTTATACTTCACGTGGTACCCCTTTTGTGTGTTCTAGATTTACCGCTTGAAACATGTGGGTAAAACTAAAAAATAAGGAGAACAAGAAAAACGAGAAGGCTGAAATTGTGGGAGAGAGATGATGGAGATAGGGTTTGCGTTACAGAGGTGGGAGAGAGATGATGGAGAATTTGTGTTGACTTGGTTGAGATTGAGAAGTTTCATGAGAAAATATCTTTTACCAATTAAATAGGGAGTAGTTATTTAGAAAAGGATAAATATTCCCCTTAATTACGCTTGATTGATCAGATTTATTATGTGGTATTTTTGCAATTAAAATTAGTTGATTATGTTAATATGTTAATACTTACAAGATTTTTATATTTATGCAATAAAAAAATAAATTGATAGTATGACGTGCAATTTTCTCTTTGAAATTAAGAACATTGTTGGAATTTTTCAAATAACGCTTATATCATGTTCACAACATATTATTAATTTAAGACATACGTCAGTGAATTTTTCCCTAAGCTTTAATGATTCCTCTAAAATTTATCTATTAGCCAAATAGGTTACGTCAGGATTGGCCCGATTTTAGGATCCACATGAAAAATGGTTAGCAACTTGTTTAAACGGGCCTAGAGATGTGAAAACAGGCCAGTCGGGCATATGAGAAGTCCAATCCGACCCTTACCTGCCTCGGGCTCAAGATACATGTGGCAGACTTGCGAAATTATATAAATTACTACAACACCAGTAATTATATGGGTGCTAGTTAAATTTTTCGACTGAAATTCTTAAAAATTGTAATTAAGAATTTTTTATTTAAATTCAATTTTGAAAAAAAGATTGCATTATTAAAAATGTAAAATAAAAGTTTTTTTTTTTTAATTTAAAATTTTAAACTGAGACTTTCTACTTGCACGATTTGTCTTTATTTTATTATAACTAATGTGTCACACAATGAAACTATGGGAGAAAATAATAGAAACTAGGCTAAGGCAAGAACAAACATAATGGAAAACTTTATGCCAGACAGATCAACAATAGAAGCTATTCATGTAATAAGGAGACTTTGTGAATGTTTTAATGAGAAAAAAAACAAAATTTGCATATAGTTTGTATTGACCTTGAAAAAACATATGATATTGTTAATAGTGGTATAATGTGGAGAGTGTTAGAAAAGAGGGGAGTGCAAGTTGGTTATATAGAAACCATAAAAGATATGTATAATAATGTGAAAACTTGTGTTAGGACACTGGTAGGGATATCATGTTAATTTCCTATCACTATTGGTTTGCATCAAGGTTCCGTTTGAGTTTGTATCTCTTGGATTAGTAATGGATGAACTTACGAAATATTTGCATTTGGATGTCACCGATTGCATGTTGTTTGTGGATGACATTGTGTTGGTAGATGTGACGAGAGAGGGGGTAAATAAGTTAGAAACAAAGAGAGAGACGCTTGAATCTAGGGGTTTCAAAATAAGTAGGGCCAAACAGAATATATGGAGTGTAATTTTAGTAATCAAAGGAGTAATAATGGGGTAAATGTTAAAACTGGGGAACACGAATTGGACATATTTAAAAGTTTTAAAAATTTAAGATCCATTCTAGAAGATATTGACAACATAGATAAGGATGTGACACATAGAAAATCGAAATGGAACAAGTGAAGGAGCGCGACGTCGATACTTTGTCATCGAAAAGTACCAGTAGTTGATACATGAATCATAATTTGTTATCAATGAGTAAAACATTCATATATAACTAATAGACCATACAACTTAAGCTACATTTTTTTTTTTTTTAATTATCTTCCATTACGAATTGGCCTTGGTCGTTGAATTTTTTTGGTCTTTCAATAGAGGTTCTACTCTATTAGTGAAACTTCATAAGATTTATACATCCTGACTTCTAATGAGCGCTTGTGTCATCTAGCATGAAAAAATCACAGTTATAAAATTCAGATGTTCCGATTTTTTCTATGCGGTCAGTCCAAGAATCGTGTTACGATCGTGTATCAAAAGTAAAGAAAACAACGGAAAAGTGTTAACCCGCACTAGAATGGCCGTTGGTCGACACAAGAATTTGGTGCTCAAAACGAGC